GCCGGTTGTTGTGTCGCGCCGGGCGGCACAAGAAAAGCCCGTTGTGGACCGTGCGCGCTGTGTCCGTGTCGTTTGTTACCGGGGGGGAACCGGGAGGGGCGACGGGAGGGGGGGGGGTCCCGGTGCCGCCGCCATGGCCGCGCCTGTTCCGCTTCCGGCGCCGCTTGGTGACGTCACGACAAAGCTCGCATCTCATTGGTCGATTCGCGCGTCGCGCCGGAAGCGGCTCCCGCCGTGGCCGTGGCGACCGGGACGCGGCGGGGCCGGACCCGGTACCGGGAGCTGCGGGGAGGGGGCGAGCGGGGGGAGCGGGAGCGGCGTCGGCTCGGCTCCCGGTACCGGGGAGAGCCACATGAGGAACCCCCGGCACCGGCGATTCGCGGCGGGCGGCGCCGCTTTGGGCGGATCCCGGTGCTACGGGGTGGGTGCGGGGGCAGCACCGGCGGCGTCCCGGTACCGCTGAGGGGAGGGGCGGAGCCGCAGCCGGCGATGGGCCCCCCGCGCCCGCCGCCGCTGCTCCCGCGGAGCCCCCGGGGCCGGCGGCGGGCGCGGGGGTCCCGGGGGGGCTCCTGGCGCTGCCACCGGAGCTGCTGCTGCGGATCTGCGGCTTCCTGCGGGCCCGGGACGTGCGGCGGGTGCTGCCCCGCGTCTGCCGCGCCCTGCGGGACCTGGCCCGGGACGCGGTGCTCTGGAGGCTGCGGCTGCAGCGCCGCGCCCGCCGCCCCCTGCCCGTGCTGCCAGGTGGGTCTGGGGGCGCCGCGACCCCCCCGGGACCCCTCCCTGACCCCAGGCCGCTCGGCCGCTGGGAGCCCTTTGGGTTCCCCCGTGATTTTGGGGGTCCCTTTCCACGATTTTAGGGGTGCCCCCCGTATTTTGAGGGTCCCCCCCGTGGTTTTGGCGCTCCCTCCATGATTCTGAGACCTCCCCCCCCAATGGTTTTGGGGGTCCCTTTCCGTGGCTTTGGGTCCCCCCCCCCGTGGTTTTGGGGGTCACTCTGTGGTTTTGGGGGACCCCCCGTGGTTTTGGGTCCCCCGACCATGATTTCAGGTCCCCCCATGGTTTTTGGGGTCTCCCCCATGGTTTTCGATTCCCTCCCTGGTTTTTGGGGCTCTCCCCGTGATTTTGGGGGTCCCCCCCGTGGTTTTGGGGTCCCCCCCATGGTTTTTGGGGTCTCCCCCGTGGTTTTCGATCCCCTCCCTGGTTTTTGGGGCTCTCCCCGTGTTTTTAGGGGTTCCTTTCCACGATTTTGGGGGTCCCCCCCGTGGTTTTGGGGTCCCCTTGACGCCCTCCATGCCCCCCTCAGTCACCCCAATCTTTGCGCCCCCTCAAACCTCACCTTGCTTTGCACTCACCCCTCTGTGTGGGGGTCCCTGAGACCCTCCCACGACCCCCCCCATAATTTGGGCCCCCCCAGAGGAGGGCTTCGATTGGGCGGCCGCCTGCGAGGACCTGGAGGAGCACCTGGAGCGCTGGGGGGCCGGGGGGGCCCCCATGGAGCACTTCTCCCTGGACGAGGGGCACTTCGCCTCCGTCGACTCCGTCCTGCTGCTGCAGGTGAGACCCCCCCGAGGGGGTGGTTGTGTTGTGGGGGGGGGTCTCCCGGGGGTCTCCCCAGCTGAGTTTTGCCCCCTCCTCGTTCCCAGGGGGGCTCCCTGTGCGTCTCGGGGGGCCGCGACCGCAACGTGAACCTGTGGGACCTGCGGGAGCTGGGCCGGGGCCCCCCCGGGAAGGTTCTGGTCAAGGCTCTGGGCTCGGGGCGCGGCGGCACACACAAGGTGGGCATCGAGCCGACCCCCACCCCATAAAAAACCCCCCCCCCTGGAGGGGGTCGCAGGGTGTGGCAGCCCCTCCGGGTGCCCCCCAGGGCTGGGTTTGGTGCTTGGCCTCGCGGGACTCGCGCGTCTGCTCCGGCTCCTGGGACAGCACCGTGAAGCTCTGGGACCTGGCGGCCGAGGGGCAGCAGTTCGGGGAGATCCGGTACGGCCCCCCGGTGGGGGGGCTCTGCGTGGGTGGGGAGGGGTCTCTGGGGGGTCCCGCTGAGCCCCCTCCCCTTCCCCAGGGAGAAGGCGGCCGTGCTGTGCCTCTCGTACCGCCCCGACGTCCTCGTCACCGGCACCTACGACAAGACGGTGACCGTGTACGACCCGCGAGGTACCGGAATGAGGGGGGGTCTGGGCAGGGTCGGGGGCGTTTGGGGATCCCCCTGACCCCTCCCCGCGCCCCCTCCCCAGCCGGGCAGGCCCAGGTGAGCAGCTACAAGCCCCACGCCAGCGCGGTGCTGTCGCTGGCGGCTGACGAGCGGCTGATCGTGTCGGGCAGCGAGGACCGGACCCTGGTGGTGTTCGACCGCCGCGCCGGCTCCGTGCTGCAGCGCCTGCAGGTGGGGGCTGGCACACGCGCCCCCCACCCCCCGGAGTGCCCCCTGAGGTGACATTCGGGCTGTGTCTTCCTCCTCCTCCTCTTCCTCAGCTGGACAATTACCTGCTCTCCATGTCCTACCGGGGCTCGCAGCTCTGGGCTGGGGACAACCAGGGCCGGGTGTACCTGTTCGGCAGCGGCGGCGGCGGCGGCTTCCAGCCGGCCCGGGTAGGGGTCCCGGGGGGTCCCGGGGGGTCTCGGGTGGCAGGACCGCCCCCCCCGGGGCTCACCAGGGGTTTCTGTCCCCCCTTTCCCTGCAGTATTTCGACGTGGGGCACCGGCTGCAGATCACGGGGCTCTGGCACTCGCTGGGCTCGCTCTACACCACGTCCACCGACAGGACGCTGCGGGTGGGGGTCCCCGCGGGGCTGGGCTGGGGGGGCCCTGGGGGGGGGTCCCCGGGGGGTTCCTGCTGACCCCCAGCTCTGCCTGTCCTGCAGATCCACGTGCCCACAGATCCACCCCGCACCATCTGCTCCTGGACGCACGACGATGTCCTCAACGGGGTGAGGAGCTGTCCCCAGCCCTTGCGCACGCGCAGCCCCCTCCCCGGGGTGCCCCCCCAGCCCCCCCTGGCCCTCCTCTGCTTCCCCCAGATCAGCGTGGATGGGGACGTGGTGGCCGCGGCCTCGGGGGGACTCTCGGTCGAGGTGTGGAGGCTCCGGACCTGACGCCGGCGGGCTCGGGGGGCTCCGGCCGCGCCCCGCGGGGTCCCCCCAGCGCCCCCCACTCAGGGGGGGCCGGGCCCGGATCCGGGACGTGGGTGGGGCTGGAAGCTGCCGCCTGTTGATGGCTATTAAAGGATTGGACTGGAGCGGAGCTTGTGTCCCCCCGCGGGTTTGGGGTGAATTTGGGGGGTTTGGGGCGCTGCGGCCCTTTCGGGGCTCCCTCCGTGCAACGGCGCCTTTTCGCGTCCTCGACTTTCTCGTCCCTCCACGGCCACCGTCACGCCAAGATGGCGGCGCGCGACTGTACGGAAAAGCCAGACGGGAGCGCCGAGCAAGATGGCGGCGCGCAGCCTTACGGCGGGGAGAACGCGCAGCCGTACGGCGCGGGGGGCGTGGCCCAAGATGGCGGCGCCCTGAGCGGCACGGCCGAGCCATGGCGGCCCCGGGAGAGGCGCCGGGAGAGGCGCTCCGGGCCGTGCTCCGGCCCAGCGCGGCCCTCCCGGCCGAGGCCCTCCCGGTGCGCGGTTACGACTTCTCGGGCGGCGCGGACCACGCGGCGCTGCTCCGCTCCTTCCGCACCACCGGCTTCCAGGCCACGAGCTTCGCGCAGGCCGTGGCGGAGATCGAGCGGATGGTGAGGCCCCGGTGGCGGGGGGTGACACCGGCAGGGTGAGGGGGGGTCCGGGCCCGGTGTGAGCCCTCCCCGGTGTCCCCTCCCGCAGATCGCGGCCAAGCTGGAGCCGCTGAGCGCGGAGCAGCGGGAGCGAGCGGCCATGGCCGGGCCGCGGCCGCCCTCGGGCTGCACCATCTTCCTGGGCTTCACCTCCAACCTCGTCAGCTCCGGCGTCAGGGAGAGCATCCGCTACCTCGTGCAGCACGGCATGGTGACAGGGGACAGGGCACAGCGTGGGGACACCTGAGAATGGCACGGGGCTGGGTGGGGACAGTGACAATGGCAGTCACTCTGTCCTGCTGGCCCCATGGCCAGGAGGTCCTTGGGGTGTCCCCAGGTCCCTGTGAGGTTCAGGGGTCACTCCCGGTGTCCCTGAGGTGACCCCACCTGGACAGGGGGTCAGGGGGGTCAGGGGGTCACTCCCGGTGTCCCTGAGGTGCTGACCCCCCCTGGACAGGGGGTCACAGGGTCACTCCTGGTGTCCCTGAGGTGACCCCGCCCTGGACAGGGGGGGTCAGGGGGTCACTCCCGGTGTCCCTGAGGTGACCCCACCTGGACAGGGGGGGTCAGGGGGTCACTCCCGGTGTCCCTGAGGTGACCCTGCCCCGGACAGGGGTTCAGGGGGGGTCAGGGGGTCACTCCCGGTGTCCCTGAGGTGCTGACCCCCCCGGCAGGTGGACGTGCTGGTGACCACGGCCGGGGGGGTCGAGGAGGACCTGATCAAGTGCCTGGCGCCCACCTACATCGGGGACTTCCAGCTGCGGGGCCGGGACCTGCGGGAGAACGGCATCAACAGGTCCGGGGGGGGCCTGGGAGGCTGGGGACACCTCGGGGACACCTCGGGGGGACCTCGGGGTCACCTCGGGGTCACCTCGGGGTCACTCTGGGGTCCCTCAGGATCGGGAACCTGCTGGTGCCCAACGATAACTACTGCAAGTTCGAGGACTGGCTGATGCCCATCCTGGAGAGGATGGTGGACGAGCAGGACACGCAGGTGAGGGGGTGGGAGACCCCAACCCGGGACCCCACAGGGCTGGGAGAGGGTCCCTGCACACCTGGGGTGATCTGGGGTGGGGTTTGAGGGTCCCTAGACACCTGGGGTGGGGTTTGGGGGTCCCTAGACACCTGGGGTGGGGTTTGGTGGTCTCTAGACACCTGGGGTGGGGTTTGGGGGTCCCTGCACACCTGGCCCCCCCGTTCCTGACGGGTCCCCCCAGGGCGTGCGGTGGACGCCGTCCCGGATGATCGCCCGGCTGGGCAAGGAGATCAACAACCCCGAGTCCATCTGTTACTGGGCCCAGAAGGTACCGGGGGCACCGGGAGGGGGCACCGGGGGGTGTCACCGCGGGTGCCACCGGCTGTCACCGCGGGTGCCACCGGCTGTCACCGCGTCCCCCCGCCCCGCAGAACAACATCCCGGTGCTGAGCCCCGCGCTCACCGACGGCTCCCTGGGGGACATGATCTTCTTCCACTCCTACAAACGCCCGGGGCTCGTGCTGGACATCGTGGAGGGTGAGCCTGGGGTGCCCCCCGCGGCGCCCCCCGGGATTTGGGGTGCCCTGAGGTGACCCCCTCCCCGTGCCCGCAGATCTGCGCCTCATCAACACCCAGGCCATCTTCGCCCACAAGACCGGCATGATCATCCTGGGCGGGGGCCTGGTCAAGCACCACATCGCCAACGCCAACCTCATGGTGAGGGACCCCCGCGCTGGGGAGGGGGCTTGGGGACCCCCCCGAGGCGGGGAGGGGCTGGGGGCTCACCCCGGTGCGTGCCCCCGCAGAGGAACGGCGCCGATTTCTCCGTCTACGTCAACACGGCGCAGGAGTTCGACGGCTCCGACTCGGGCGCGCGGCCGGACGAGGCCGTGTCCTGGGGCAAGATCCGCGTGGACGCCACCCCCGTCAAGGTGGGGGGCCCTGGGGGGGCTCGGGGGGGATTTGGGGACCCCCGGAGTGGGGGTTTTTCCCGCTGACCCCGCTGCTCTGGGCCAGGTCTACGCCGACGCCTCGCTCGTGTTCCCGCTGCTCGTGGCCGAGACGTTCGCCCGGAGAGCCGACGCCTTCGCGGTGCCCGCGGGGACCCCCGAGGCATGAGGGACCCCCGAGGCCTGAGGGACCCCCGAGGCATGCGGGACCTCCGAGGCATGGGGGACCCCTGAGGGCTGACGGACCCCCGAGGCATGGGGGACCCCCGAGGCCTGAGGGACCCCCGAGGCATGGGGACCCCTGAAGCCTGGGGATCCTCCCTTGAGGGACCCCCAAAACCTGGTGATCCCCGAAGGACCCCCCCCCTCCAGGCTCAGCTTTGGGTGTGCTGTACCTCAAAGGTGGGGGACAGTGGGGCGAGTCCCCCTGGGGGGGACAGGGGCCCCCCACGCCTGCAGCCCCCTGTCCGTGTGTCCCCCCTGTCCCCCTCCCCTCAGTGCTGGTGTTTATTAATTCGAGCTCCCAATAAAGCACGGCAGGGTCTCCACTGGGGGTTTATTCCTCGTGTCACCGGGGTCCCCCCGGGCCCCCTCAGGTGTTGGGGTCCCCCCGGGCCCCCTCAGGTGTCGGGGTCCCCCTCGGGCTGGAAGGTGTCCTCGCGCCACAGCGTCACCTGGCCCTGGGTGGCCACCAGCAGGCAGGGCAGGCTGGGGTGGAAGGCCAGGGACTGCACCACGCCCTGGCCCACGGGCAGGCTGAGCGCCAGCGAACCCTGGGGGGACACGGGGGGGGTCAGGGGGGGTCGGGAGTGTCCCCAAACCCCCCCTCGGGACCCTCCCTCACCTCCACCAGGTCCCAGAAGTAGACGTGGCCGTCCTCGGAGGCGCAGCCCACGTGCGTGTCCAGCTCGTTCAGGACGCAGTCCAGCCTGTACGTGGTGCTGCGGTGCCCCGTGTACCTGGGGAGGGGACGGGGCTGAGCCGGGGGTCCCCCAAGACCCCCGGGGGGCGCAGGGACTCGGGGGGGGCCCGTACTCGCCCAGCAGCTCGCCGGTGTCCTTGTCCAGCAGCCGCAGCGTGGAGTCCAGGCTGGCGGCCAGCACGCACTGCCCGTCCTTGCTGAAGCACACGCTGGTGATGGGGCCTGGGGGGGCACACGGGGAGTTTGGGGGGTCCCGCGGGGTCCCCCCAAGCTTTGGGGGCCCTCCCGCAGGCCCCACTCACTGCCGATGTAGTCGGAGCTGAGCTGCCCCGTGCGGAGGTCGTAGCGCCGCACCCGCCCGTCCACGGAGCTGCGGGGAGGGAAGGGCAGGTTTAGGGGGTCCCCCCAATCCTGGGGGTGCCCCGGTGCCGGGGGGGCTCGTTCCTCACCCCGTCAGGATCTCGTGGGCTGAGAGCTTCACGCTGGAGATGCCGTCCTTGGCCTCGTCCAGCACCTGGATGGGGTCGGGGCGGCGGGAGCGGCAGTCCCAGCACCGCACCGTGGAGTCGATGGAGCCTGGGGGAAAAGGGGGGTTCAGGGGGGTGGAGGGAGCCGGGGGGAAAAGGGGGGTTCAGGGGGAAAAAAAGGGGGATCGGGGTGGGAAAAAGGGGTGCAGAGGGAAAAAAAAGGGGGGCCAGGGTGGGAAAAGGGGGTGCAGGGGTGTCCCGGGGCTTGCAGGGTGCCCCCCAAAGCACTCCCTCACCGGACACAATGACGGTGGCTTCCTCGTTGAACTGGACGCAGTTTACCTTCTGTGGGAGAAGCAGGCAATCAGGACCTCGATCTGCACGCAGAATCCCAAATCCCCCTCCCCAAATCCCACCCCCAGACCCTCAACTCCCCCCGCCGGCCCCTCCTCACCCCGGCGTGTCCCCGGTACTTGCGGACCACCTGCCCCGTGCTCACGTCCCAGAGCGCCACGGCCTTGTCGGCGCCGCCGGAGCAGATCTGGCTGTTGTCGAAGGATCTGCGGGGGGGTCCCGTGAGGCGGAGGGGGCTCCCCGCGGTGGGGAGGGGTCCCCGAAGCCCCTCCTTACCCCGCGGCGTCCAGCACCTCGTAGCCGTGGCCCTGGTAGGTGCGCAGGGCTGTGCCCTTGTGCGGGTTCCAGAGCTTCAGCGTCTTGTCGCTGCCGCACGTCAGGCAGTAATTCCCGTCCGCTGCGGGGGCGAACGGCCGTGACCACCGGGACCCCTGCCCGTGACACCGGGGGATCCCCGGGACCCCTGCCCGTAACACCGGGGGATCCCCGAGACCCCCTGCCTGTAACACCGGGGGATCCCCGGGACCTCCTGCCCGTAACACCGGGGAACCCCCTGCACCCCCTGCCCCTGATACAGGGTGACCACCGGGACCCCCTGCCCGGGATACCGGGGAATCCCCGGCATCCCCTGCCCGTAACACCGGGGGATCCCCAAGACCCCCTGCCCGTGACACGGAGAGATCCCCGGGACGCCCTGCCCCGGATCTGGGGGATCCCCGGGACCCCCTGCCCGTCAGGCAGTAATTCCCGTCCGCTGCGGGGGTGACACCGGGGGATCCCCGGGACCCCTGCCCGTGACACCGGGGGATCCCCGGGACCCCTGCCCGTGACACCGGGGGATCCCCGAGACCCCTTGCCCCTGATACAGGGTGATCCCTGGCACCTCCTGCCCTTGATACAGGGTGATCACCGGGACCCCCTGCCTGTAACACCGGGGGATCCCCGGGACCTCCTGCCCGTAACACCGGGGAACCCCCTGCACCCCCTGCCCCTGATACAGGGTGACCACCGGGACCCCCTGCCCGGGATACCGGGGAATCCCCGGCATCCCCTGCCCGTAACACCGGGGGATCCCCGGGACCTCCTGCCCGGGATACCGGGGGATCCCTGGGACCCCCTGCCCCTGACACCGGGGGATCCCCGAGACCCCCTGCCCGTGACACGGAGAGATCCCCGGGACGCCCTTCCCCGGACAGGGGGTGATCCCCGAGACCCCCTACCCGGATCTGGGGGGATCCTCGAGACCCTCACACCGAACACGGGCGGATCCCCGAACCCCCTGCCCCGGACACGGGGGATCCCCGGGACCCCCTGCCCGGGATACTGGGGAATCCCCGAGACCCCCTACCCGGATCTGGGGGGATCCTCGAGACCCTCACACCGAACACGGGCGGATCCCCGAACCCCCTGCCCCGGACACGGGGGATCCCCGGGACCCCCTGCCCGGGATACTGGGGAATCCCCGAGACCCCCTACCCGGATCTGGGGGGATCCTCGAGACCCTCACACCGAACACGGGCGGATCCCCGAACCCCCTGCCCCGGACACGGGGGATCCCCGGGACCCCCTGCCCGGGATACTGGGGAATCCCCGAGACCCCCTACCCGGATCTGGGGGGATCCTCGAGACCCTCACACCGAACACGGGCGGATCCCCGAACCCCCTGCCCCGGACACGGGGGATCCCCGGGACCCCCTGCCCGGGATACTGGGGAATCCCCGAGACCCCCTACCCGGATCTGGGGGGATCCTCGAGACCCTCACACCGAACACGGGCGGATCCCCGAACCCCCTGCCCCGGACACGGGGGATCCCCGGGACCCCCTGCCCGGGATACTGGGGAATCCCCGAGACCCCCTACCCGGATCTGGGGGGATCCTCGAGACCCTCACACCGAACACGGGCGGATCCCCGAACCCCCTGCCCCGGACACGGGGGATCCCCGGGACCCCCTGCCCGGGATACTGGGGAATCCCCGAGACCCCCTACCCGGATCTGGGGGGATCCTCGAGACCCTCACACCGAACACGGGCGGATCCCCGAACCCCCTGCCCCGGACACGGGGGATCCCCGGGACCCCCTGCCCGGGATACTGGGGAATCCCCGAGACCCCCTACCCGGATCTGGGGGGATCCTCGAGACCCTCACACCGAACACGGGCGGATCCCCGAACCCCCTGCCCCGGACACGGGGGATCCCCGGGACCCCCTGCCCGGGATACTGGGGAATCCCCGAGACCCCCTACCCGGATCTGGGGGGATCCTCGAGACCCTCACACCGAACACGGGCGGATCCCCGAACCCCCTGCCCCGGACACGGGGGATCCCCGGGACCCCCTGCCCGGGATACTGGGGAATCCCCGAGACCCCCTACCCGGATCTGGGGGGATCCTCGAGACCCTCACACCGAACACGGGCGGATCCCCGAACCCCCTGCCCCGGACACGGGGGATCCCCGGGACCCCCTGCCCGGGATACTGGGGAATCCCCGAGACCCCCTACCCGGATCTGGGGGGATCCTCGAGACCCTCACACCGAACACGGGCGGATCCCCGAACCCCCTGCCCCGGACACGGGGGATCCCCGGGACCCCCTGCCCGGGATACTGGGGAATCCCCGAGACCCCCTACCCGGATCTGGGGGGATCCTCGAGACCCTCACACCGAACACGGGCGGATCCCCGAACCCCCTGCCCCGGACACGGGGGATCCCCGGGACCCCCTGCCCGGGATACTGGGGAATCCCCGAGACCCCCTACCCGGATCTGGGGGGATCCTCGAGACCCTCACACCGAACACGGGCGGATCCCCGAACCCCCTGCCCCGGACACGGGGGATCCCCGGGACCCCCTGCCCGGGATACTGGGGAATCCCCGAGACCCCCTACCCGGATCTGGGGGGATCCTCGAGACCCTCACACCGAACACGGGCGGATCCCCGAACCCCCTGCCCCGGACACGGGGGATCCCCGGGACCCCCTGCCCGGGATACTGGGGAATCCCCGAGACCCCCTACCCGGATCTGGGGGGATCCTCGAGACCCTCACACCGAACACGGGCGGATCCCCGAACCCCCTGCCCCGGACACGGGGGATCCCCGGGACCCCCTGCCCGTGACACGGAGAGATCCCCGGGACGCCCTGCCCCGGATCTGGGGGATCCCCGGGACCCCCTGCCCGTGACACGGGGTGATCCCCGGACCCCCTGCCCCTGATACAGGGTGATCACCGGGACCCCCTGCCCGGGATACTGGGGAATCCCCGAGACCCCCTGCCCGTGACACCGGGGAACCCCCTGCACCTCCTGCCCCTGATACAGGGTGATCACCGGGACCCCCTGCCCGGGATACTGGGGAATCCCCGAGACCCCCTGCCCGTGACACCGGGGGATCCCCAGTACCCTCACACCGAACACGGGGGGATCCTCCGGACCCCCTGCCCCGGACACGGGGGATCCCCGGGACCCCCGCACCGGCACTCCCCGCCCGGTTCCCAACCTCCATCCCCGGCTCCTGCTCTCTTCCCCCCGGTCTCCCCGGTCTCACCGTTGAAGCGGGCGGCCCGCACCGCTCCCTGCCCGCACTGCAGGCTCTGCACCCGCTGCCGGGGCAGCTCGGGCCGGGCGGGCCGCGGCCTCGGGAACGCCATGGCGGGACCGGAGCCGGCACCGGGGGCGGAACCGGGGCGGGCAGCGGGGCCGGGCTCCTTCCGGCGGCGGCGGCGGAAGAGGCGGCGGTGGCGGCGGGGCCATGGCGGACCCGCGGAGACCCGGCAAGGTGGCCAGGTGGGACGGCGGGCAGCGGGACAGGAGGGAGCGGCAGAACCGGGCGGAGATCCGCGGGGCTCCCGGTGCCGCGGCCCGCCTGACGGAGCCCCGTTTTCCGCCAGGTACAAGCCCCCGGCCACCGAGACCAACCCGGCGCTGGAAGACCCGACCCCCGACTACATGAACCTGCTGGGGATGGTGTTCAGCATGTGCGGGCTCATGCTCAAGGTGGGGCACGGGGGGCACCGGGATGGGCCCCGGGATGGGCACCGGGATCGGTACCGGGATGGGCACCGGGATGGGCACGGGGATGGGCACCGGGATCGGCACCGGGATCGGTACCGGGATCGGTACCGGGATGGGCACCGGGATCGGTACCGGGATCGGTACCGGGATGGGCCCCGGGCGCTGTTCTGAGGGGAATTCGGGGGAGGGAGGATCAGAGAGAGCCCCTGAGGGGCTCGGGGCCATCCTCGGGGGTCTCTGGGCTCTCCGGGGGTCTCAGGCCTCATCCCTGCCAGTCCCTCGGGGGTCTCACGGCGCTGTCCCGGGGGTCCCCCGGGGGTCTCACGGCGCTGTCCCGGGGGTCCCCAGCTCAAGTGGTGCGCCTGGATCGCCGTTTACTGCTCCTTCATCAGCTTCGCCAACTCGCGCAGCTCCGAGGACACCAAGCAGATGATGAGCAGCTTCATGTGAGTGCCGGGGGGTCCCGGGGTGGGGGTCCCGGGCTGTGTTTGGGGGTCTCTGACCCCTGTGTGTGCCCCTCGCAGGCTCTCCATCTCGGCCGTGGTCATGTCCTACCTGCAGAACCCCCAGCCCATGTCCCCGCCGTGGTGACGGGGGTGGGGGGTCCTCGTGGGGGCAATAAAAGGGGGTCCTGGCACTGCTGCGGTTTGTTTGTACCTGAACAGGGCACGGGGGAGCCCCCCGCGAGAGGGGGGAACGGGGAGGGGGAGTCCTGGGGGGCTCCAGGGGGAGCCGGAGGGTCTGAGGGGACGCTGGGGGGAGTTGTGGGTGCTGAAGGGGTTCGGAGGGGGCTCGGGTGGTCTTAGGCGGCTCTGAGGGGGGGACTCGGGTGGTCTGAGGGACTCTAAGGGGGCTCTGAGCAGGCTTTGAGGGGATTCTGAGGGTCTGAGGGGACTGAGCAGGCTCTGAGGGTCTGACGGGGCTCTGAGGGGACTTGCAGTATCTGAGAGTCTCTGAGGGGGCTCAGAGGGTCTGAGGGGGACTCTGAGCAGGCTCTGAAGGAACTCGGAGGGTCTGAGGGGGATCTGAGGGGAGTCGGGAGGTCTGAAGGGGCTTTGAGGGGGTTCTGAAGGTCTGAGAGGACTCTGAGGGTCTGAGGGGGTTCTGAGTGGGCTCTGAGGGGACTTTGAGGGGATTCGAGAGGTCTGAGGGGGCTCTGAGGAGCTCTGAGCAGGGTCTGAAGGGGCTTTGAGGGGATTCAGGAGGTCTGAGGGGGCTCTGAGGAGCTCTGAGCATGGTCTGAAGGGACTTTGAGGGGATTCAGGAGCTCTGAGGGTCTGAGGGGGCTCTGAGGGGGACTCGTCGTGGGCGGGGCCTCGGGAGCCGCCACTCTTCATTGGCCACTGGTCGTTTCCCGCCGTTGCAAACGCCCCTCCCAGAGAGCTGTCAATCACGCGCTCTCCTCCTCCTCATTGGCTCCCGCTTGTTGTCGGTCCCGTTCTGCCCTCCTTGCGCTCCACCCCTTCGAGCAGCAACAGCGAATCAGAACGCGGGGCGTGGCATTAGCTCCTTTTCCCGGCCACCCATTGGCTGCGGCATACAAGGGGGCGGGGCGACCCCCGCCTGTCATGTGAGGGCGCGGTCACGTGAGCGCCGCTGTCATGGCGGTGCCCGGAGCGGCGGCGCTGCCGCTGCTGCTGCTCCTGAGCGGGGCGGCCGCGGGCTGCGGGGACCAGGGGGGACCGGGAGCCTCGGACAGACGGACTGGGAGCACTGGGATTGCCCGGGGACATTGGGGCGGGCGGTGGGGGCGGGATAACGGGAGCTGCGATAGGCTGGGGACACCGGGAAGGGCTGAGGGGGGCAGCGGGGCGGTGTGAGGGAACGGGAACTGGGAGCGCTGGGGGGGGGGGCCGGGGGGGTCCCCAGGGGGGTCTGGGGGTCCCCAGGGTGTCTCCAGGGTGTCCCCAGGGGGGTCCCCGGGATG